TAATAATTTTACCACCCACCATAACCCACTGGGGCACTCCAGAAGACCTCTAAAGGTTTGTATATATGCACATTTTGTATGGCACCAATTTCAGAGGTTTGGAAGAAAACAATAAAATCCTGTTACTGTATTGCTATTGCTCAAGCATGCAGAGGTCTAAAACATTTTGAAAAACTATTGGCTGCCACTTTTTTTTTGGCTAGAGTGAGGGAGACATAGAACTTCTATCAGATTTTTATTGCTATAAATTCTCCAAAACAATATTTATTCTTAGCCTTTTATTGTTGTCTGTATCCCCCTGTTGTGAAGAATTCCTCTAATTTTCAGTCCCAATAGCAGTAGTTAATTTCTAGGACAAAGAGTAAAGACAAATCTTGAAAGAGAGGTCACAGGCAGCAATAAAAAATGAAAGAGGTTCAAGCTCTTCTCTTTTGCATGTAAAATGGAATGCCACCTTAACAGAGTCTATAAGATGTTTGTATCATAGTTTAAACTGTGACACAAAATGAATAATTACTAAAAGACAAAAGATCTACACTATGGTCACATAACATGATGTAGCTGATGTACCTGGTAACATAATCCCAATTGTTACATAATTATATTCTGTATTTAAAACAGGGCTGTAAATAAAAAAAAAAATCTTAAACTCCCTCTTAAACCAAACGCGATACTAGAATATGAACATATTAAAGCATTAACTTAATGTATACTGCTCATAGATGGCATAGAAGGGAAGGCAGCTATCTCCTTGACAGTCATTTTTGGCAAAATATTTATCTTTGGGAAACCTTATATTTCAAGAGAATAACTAAACCTATATCAATAAGATTCAGGTGCCAAACCTATATATACATTACACTTACTATAATGTGCCAAATGATATTGGTCCCTGCACTCAGCCGTGTAAGCTTACAGGCTCATGACAGGTGCAAATACATTTGTGGATCTAGCCACCTCCTTGACTATAGTAAAAGAACTCTGAAAATGTATTTGTGATTCCAGGGCCATGGATAAGGGGGTACCACTGGTCCTTCTGTATGGGGCCCAGGTGCCTGGGTGAATCGGATATGGGCAGGGAGGGTGATCAGCAAGGCAGTGGGGGGGAGGGACAATTACTGGAACAGATCCCCTGTATGGCTCTCTCTGCAGCAGCTGAAAGCTGGCTTCTTCTCCTCTGCATCCTGCTGGCTTTTGGCTTCAGTAATTGCCCTCTAGCCTCACCTATCACCCTCCCTGTTCACCATACATTTCCCCCTGTTGCCCACACCCCCTGTGTGCCCCAAAGTGCTGCCGGCTTCCCTCCTCTCCTTCCCACTGACAGCTGTAAGCACACAAAAGGATCCTTCAGGATGGAGAGTGGGGGGAGGGTCCAGTAAATATGTCACAGTTACCAGCCCCTTCCTTTGAGTGATCAGTACCGGTCACTCACTATGTTCATTCATAACTGAAGCATAGCAAACTGTGCTTATTTGGGGGGGCTGTATGGGGCCCCATGGTTTCTAACAGCAGCCCTGCATTTTTCTCTTAACGAATGACTAATATGTTTTTTTTCCAGTGGGATGTTGATGACCCATCGACTGTTCCTCTAGCAACTATATCAGTAGTTTTCACCTTCATTTTTGTTCTAGAGGTAAAGTATTTCTAGTTATATTGTTCTTTATGAAGACTAGCTGAAGAAGATCAGTCCAAAGTATGTGCCAATACAAATATAACTCTTCCCAAACACTAAATTAAATCAAGTTGCTATTGGTATACTGTATACAGAATTATTACAGTTTGGATTGCTAGATAAGTTCCACATTCTTCTGAATCCAGTTATACGAACTTCCTATGTCATTGAGACACAACAAACCTTTTTTCTTACTGAAATATTAAGGTTCTTTTTATGAGTGTGTAAAAGATAAATGAATAGGCACAACAAGAAACAAATATGGGACTTACACGACACAAAACACCAGAATAATCTTTTTTTTTTTTTCAGTAACATGAAATGACAAGGTCAAGGTCAACTGAATTTATTGGATGGGCACAGATTATCTGCTAATATCCCTGATATCTGGCTTTTTGGGGGCTTTCCGATTTGTGCATCAGATTCCAATATGTACTGTTGTTTGTCAGAGTATTTATGAATAAACGTACAACACTAATTACAAACAGACCCTTTGCCCCTTTGATTTCTGACTTTAACAATTGTGACATGAATAGATGCATTTTAGGCATTACAGTAATTAAAAGCATTGCAATTTACAATGTTGATTAACACAACAAAAGCCAACCTAAGGGTTCTGACTCTAATACATAGGTTCATTTTAATTAAATAGACATTTATTTCTTTCCTCATGTTTATTGAGGTTCTTGGGTATTTAAAGAAATAAAGCTTTAACTTGCTTTTGTTTTTCTAAATTACATCCAAATACCCCTGTATGACAGTCTAAACAATGACAGTCTAAACAAGTCTTGTGGCTAAATGGTTAGCACTTCCACCTGGCAGCACTAGGGTTGTTAGTTTGAATCCCGTCCACAGCACCACCTGCCTGGAGTTTGTATGTTATCCCTGTGCTTGCCTGGGTTTCCTCTGGTTTCCTCTCACACTCCAAAGACATGCTGGTAGGCTTGGATCCTATCTAAATTAACTGTAATCTGTACATGTATGAATGTGAGTTAGGGGCCTTAGATTGCACTCTCCTTGAGGGTTAGGGACTGATGCGCCGTCAGTTTAGCACTGCGTAAACTGACAGCGCTATATAAGTACCTGTAATAAAATCTCAAACCTGGGTCACCAGAAAAACTTTCTTTACCTTCCATATGCCAAATGCTCCTTTATTTGTGCTTCACACTTTCTCCTCCTCTTAGACAATACAGCTTACAATGGGAGAGTCACAGTAATAGCAGTAGTGCTGCCAATCCAGAAAGCAACGAGCAGGACTAGGTATGGCCAGGTGCTAACAAACAAGCTGCAGGCTTGTAAATCTGCAGTGATGGTGCTGATAACAATGCAACCCCTACAATATCTTCTTATAAAACTGTAGTATAAGTAGGCACAGACTACATAAGAAAGGGAATTCTACTCTGAATTTAGGAGCAGTGGCGAATTGTTGCCACACAATACTTCACTGGCAGGATCGACAAGTGTTTGGGGACTTTGCAGGGGGACAAAGAGAAAACTGAAAGTGCAGATGCACTTATACAGTAATTAGGTACTACAGCATATTTTTTTTTATGTAAGGCCATAGTTCTACTTTGAAAGAATTCACTTTTGTACAGAACAAAACAGTCTTCTGTGATCACTAAGCTGAATGAGATCATCCAACTATTTTTTTTTTCATGCATACTGGGCGTTTTAATAACACTGGTAACGTTAGTTGTGTAAAGTCATGTTAAAAACGTGAGTTTTTTAGTGTTTTTGCATTAGCGTTTTTTGCTCAAAAAAAACGTCTTACCGCATTTTGCCGCATTTTTCAGCGTTAGAGTATTTTTACAGCTGAAAAAATGCTAAAAAATGCAAACGCGGAAAAGCGTGGGAAAACGCCACTAATCATGGCAAAACACCACTAAACACTAGTGCAAAAACGCTAAAAAAAGCTGAAAAACTCACGTTTTTAACGTGACTTTACACAGCTAACGTTACAAGCATTATCAAAATGTCAAGTGTGCATGAGAGCTAATAGTAGCTGATAGACTGATTTATCACTGAACAACCTAAATACTGACTGTGTTTTCATGAGTTTTGTAGATACAGGTCTTTTATCACTCAAAAACCTTAGTGAATCACTAGCCAATATAGAACAATATAGCCATTTTAAAAATGCACATTAACCCAAACGTTAATGTAGTTATCAAAGAAGTATTCCTTAAATAGCCAGTGAAAGTTATCAACATTATTGTCATACTGAAAATATGTTTATTCAATTTTATCTGTCAGTACATTGTTGACTTCTGTTCCTATAGGTAACAATGAAGATAACAGCCATGTCACCAGCTGGATTTTGGCAAAGTAGGAGAAATCGATATGACCTTCTTGTAACATCACTAGGTGTCATTTGGGTGATACTTCACTTTGCCTTACTAGTAAGAGAGATTAATTTATACAATGTGGTCACTAAGACTATTATTTTTTTCTGTTGATAAAATAGAATGTGTTTAAAATTATTATTCTTTGTTGATTCTATCTAATGTTAATACATTTCAATAGGTTGCCCTTGGAATGTATGTATGTGACATTCTTATTAGTTATTAAGCAGAAGACTGTTGATTTTCAGGACAGTTCAAAACAGAAATGTACATACACTATATTGCCAAAAGTATTGGGACGCCTGCCTTTACACGCACATGAATTTTAATGGCTTCCCAGTCTTAGTCCGTAGGGTTCAGTATTGAGTTGGCCCACCACTTGCAGCTATAACAGCTTCAACTCTACTGGGAAGGCTGTCCACAAGGTTTAGGAGTGTGTCTATGGGAATGTTTGACCATTCTTCCAGAAGCGCATTTGTGAGGTCAGGCACTGATGTCAGACGAGAAGGCCTGGCTCGCAGTCTTCACTTTAATTCATCCCAAAGGTATTCTATCGGGTTGAGGTCGGGATTCTGTGCAGGTCGGTCAAGTTCCTCAACCCAAAACTTGCTCGTCCATACCTTTATGGATCTTGCTTTGTGCACTGGTGCGCAGTCATGTTGGAATAGGAAGGGGCCATCTCCAAACTGTTCCCACAAAGTTGGGAGCAAAAAATTGTCCAAAATGTCTTGGTATTCTGATGCCTTAAGAGTTCCCTTCAGTTGAATTAAGAGGCCAAGCCCAACCCCTGAAAAACAACCCCACACCATAAACCCCCCTCCACCAAACTTTACACTTGGCACAATGCAGCCAGGCAAGTACCGTTCTCCTGACAGCTGCCAAACCCAGACACGTCCATCAGATTGCCAGACAGAGAAGCGTGATTTGTCACTCCAGAGAATACATTTCCACTGCCTAGAGTCCAGTGGTGGCATACTTTACACAATGTAAGGCTTGGATGCAGCTGGTCGGCAATGGAAACCCATTCCATCAACCTCTCTACGCACTATTGTGCTAATCTGAAGGCCACACGAAGTTTGGAGGTCTTTAGCTATTGACTCTGCAGACAGTTGGCAACTTCTGCGCACTGTGTGTGTCAGCATGAGCTGACACCACTGTGTCATTTTACGTGGCCTACCACTTCGTGGCTGAGTTGCTGTTGTTCCCAGTTGCTTCCACTTTGTTATAATACCACTAACAGTTGACCATGGAATATTTAGTAACAAGAAAATTTCACGGATGGACTTACTGCTCAGGTGGCAACCTATCACGGTACCACGCTTGAATTCGCTGAGCTCCTGAGAGCAACCCATTCTTTCACAAATGTTTGTAGAAGCAGTCTGTATGCCTAGGTGCTTGATTTTATACACCTGTGGCCATGGGGGTGATTGGAACACCTGAATCCAATGGTTTGGAGGGGTGTCCCAATACTTTTGGCAATATAGTGTATAACATATACAAATTTATATATTTTTATGTACCAAACTAAATTTCATTCATTCTACTGAATGAAAGCTGAGGCACCAGTCCGAATCTAGTCATCCAGTTTTGGAACCTTGCTACATACTGCACAGAAGTCCATATGTCTGTGTGCCAATAGAAAGACTAAAAGACATACAGCGAGCTACCAGCTACTGAGGACTAGCATGAGTTTGAGGGACCAAAGTTTCTGTAATTTGCATGGATGGTCCACTGGCCATTGAAAAGCATTGTAATTTCACTTGTCATTTTGCAGTTGAATAGGAAAGTTGTAGAGCTTTCAACTTCACTGGATATAAAGGGAGTAGGAGGAGCTGATTGCAGTTTCCTGCTCTCACAACCATTTCACCTTCCTGTCCCTGCTCATATTTTTACTTTATTCTTACAAGCTCAACATCACAAATCTTCTTCCCCCAAACTGTTATGCTGAATATACATTCAGTAGTTTTAACCACTTTCACCTAGCTTTCCATGGCAAAAATCAATTGAAAGATATAGGCAGCATGCCTGATATATAAATATAAATTATAAGCTCTCAGTGGTTAGGTGCCTTGATCTGTTCCTTTTGGCAATTAAAGGTAGAATGAAAATGGTTAAAAAAAATCTTTAGAATATTGGCATCAGTATGACCAACATTAGTGTTTAATTATTGAGATACATGTTGTAGTCTTCAGAAGGCTATCAGTATTTTTGTGGTTAGAGACTTATCATCCACAGGGAAAATGAACATTTTGGAATAATGAGGGTAGCTAAGACAACGGTAAGAATACATTAGGGGAGGGGGATCTTGAATCAGGAACTAGCACACATTCAGATAGGCACACCTGCCTGATTGTTCTCTTGGTTTTAGTCCAAGCACATGTTCACTAACATTTCTTTACTAACACACCAAAGATACATAGATCGAATAGATTACATAGATTAGATACTTTGTGATATGACTGTATAAAACAATATTCATGCGTTTCCAAAAATTGTTCCTTATGAAATGAGCTAAATAAAATAAAATATATGATTGTCTAGTGTATGTAATATTTATTTTTCCTCTACAGAATGAATATACATATATGATGGGCGCTTGTATAATAGTCTTCAGGTTTTTCTCCATATGTGGAAAACATGTAAGTTAAAAAACACAAATTAAATTATAGCGGAATAATTACTTAAATACTGTCTACACTGAAAAAACTTGGATTATCTCATGACAAGAGTATAAACCAAATTTAATATGGAAAACAAAAACATTTACATTAAATAGGATTACCCACTCTGTATTTTTTTAATGTGCTTATTAATATGAAGCAGTTCAACATCCCCCAGTATTGTTTTGTTGTACGTGTGCCTAAACATTTATTTCCCTTGCTCACCGCCACCAGCTCCAGGTCAACAGCACCACTTCTCCAAACTTTCAGGTAGTGGAGCACATACTGTGTATATATATTACATGCACAGCCCAGGCTCCAGTAGCTGTCAAACAGCAGCTGGGGGGAACAGGGGACTGGCTTACCACTGGAGCTAGCAGATTCTGTGGACGTAAAAAGTGGCTCCATGGGTCTCTGTAAGACATGGGTGCTCAACCTGTGGTCCTCTAGCTGTTGCAGAACTACAAGTTCCATCATGCCTCTGCCTTTGGGAGTCATGCTTATAACTGTCAGCCTTGCAATGCCTCATGGGATTTGTAGCTCTGCAACACCTAGAGGACCACAGGTTGAGCACCCATGCTGTAAGGGGGCAGAATCACCCAATAGCAGGAACCAGGAATCTGCATAAAAGGAAAAATGAGCATACAAAACACTGTAGGTAAGCACTTAGGTCTATAGTACTATATGTTTTTTGTTAGGGTTTAATAACACTTTAAATCACTTTAGGCTTATACTTGCAACATGTGTCCATGTGATAACTGCATCTGACATACTGCAGCACCAAAGTAATGTAATTGATCAGGTTTTCATGCAGTTTTTGCTGGGCCCCCTCAGTTACCCAACTGGAGCATATAGATTATGCAAAGACTATTCAGTGACTGTATTATTCTGTAGTGTAAGCATAGAACAAATATGTTACCTAGCTGTACTTGCAGACACATAGATGCAGCTGCAGATTAGTTATCAAACTAAATATAAACTATAAGGTCATTGTACAGATGCCTATCTTCCTTGTCAGTCATTCAGTATTTGATCATTACAAATTTGATTAAACCAAGATTATGTATCATCCAATTATTATTGTATGCTGCATTTTTTGCAGTGCATCAAAATGCGCATTGTGTATTGCAGCCCAAGGAGCTGTGGGGATGCATTGGGATGCCACACAAAATTAACGGCAACTGCAAGCCAGCAACACATGTACAGTACATTTATATATAAAAATATAAAAACTGTGTGCATTGAATTAATGCTTGCAGTTTTGTGCACATTAAGGTAAGGCTCATATTTGAATGAGCCCTAAGTAAAACACAAATATGGTGTTTCATTTTTTTTTCTGCAGGCCTGTGTCTATTCATCTGTTTATCCTGTATAAGGTGTGTGTACTGTGTATTTGTGTATATATATATATATATATATATATATATATATATATATATATACAAAAGGTTCCTATGGACTGTGTGACATTGCCACTAGATCATTCCTTGCAGTCATATATGTTTGCAAATTATACTGTCATTTTATTCCTTTGAAAACACCTCACTTCAAAGGCCTATTTTATCTTTCAATATAACTAGATTTTCTTGTTGTAGTTTAGGAAAAACCTTTCCAATAAGCCCTGTGCGAGAATTTATTCCTCCAAATCAAGTTTCTGTTAAAAAGACATGCTGAGAGAAAAATAACTACCCACAATTTACTTTTATCTCTAAATAGAGCATAAAATGGCTTTTTCATGGTCACTTGTCATCATACCACTTAGCTTGTCAATTTGCGAACATACTATTTTAATTTTAATTGTATTTTGGGTTGTTTAATATTAGACGTTTAATGCATTTTATTCCTTAAGTAATTTATTTTAGTTGAATATAAATTAATAAAAGCGTGAAATCAGCAACCTTTGCTTTATCTTCCTTATCCTTGAGACATGAAGAATGATGGAAAGTTGGAAAGCTTTGATTGCAGATATGAAGAAAATAAAAGCAAAAATTCCTTATGGCTTTCAGTAGTTATTGGCAATATTACATAGGATGCATCACACATAAGCAGCCTGTATTTTTACTTAGTCCTTGTTTCATCTGTGTGGATATCTGAATTGCACCTGTTAAGCAATGCTTTTCATCCCCTTCTGTTTTAGAGTCCACCATCTATGTCTTGCTTTTTCAAAAATGGCGATTGAATGAATACATTCATTTAAATGAAAAAAGGCTACTTTCTGTCTTTTGATCACTTAACCCAGCTCAGAATTCTCTTCCAGGTTGTTCATGATTTATCGCTTGTTTCATTTATTACAGTGCTTTTAAAATAATTTCTCAATAGCTATTACCAGGTCGTGTATTTCCACTAGAGTCACACAGGGAATCATAGCAAAAACTCTTTTATAGTTTTATCATCTAGTGAACCCTTGGTATTTCCTAGAAGAATGGAAATCCTAACTTTTTAGCAGAAAAGGACTATTATTTTAAACATTGGATTTAAATTAGAATTAAAAGGTTTACAAAAGAAAACTTAGAGCACTGTAACTAAACTCTTTGTATTAACTGTGTACATGTGCATGCTCCTGCGGCAGCTAAACATCATAGTTTTACTCAAAATGTGCAAGAAATGTGCAATGGGCACAGCTGTTTGTGGTCAATCTTAGATGTACGCAAGAAAGGGTTGAACTATGTGAACATTGTCTCCAGAGAAAGGAAAGAGTCAATAGGTATACTTTGTTGGTACAATCACCAGGAATGATTTCATTAATTGTAAGAAATATTTAAAAAATAATTTTTTGGCTTTACAAGAACATGGGCCATAACATATTTGGTTTTAGAGTTTGTTTAAATACACTTTAATTTTAGAAAAACAATTAAAGAAATGAGGTGAATCAAGTGGAAACCACAACTAGACTGCTTTCATTTTCAAATCTGTTCCAGAAGAATACTGCTTGGAATCTGGATTCTGTGAACATGTCCACTTTCCTTTCCTTCACTTTGGTGGAATGCCCCTAAGGGTGTGTTGGGCTTTAAATGGCTCCTGATGGTTAGAAAAGGTCACTTAACTATTTTGTACACAAGACAAAAACCAGACACTGAAAAAATACTGATTAAAACATGTTCTAAGCAGCTTGATTAGCAAATTGATCATTTGTGCATTAGCTAAAACTTGGCAGTGGTGAATGGCTCATTTCATGACAAAATATATTTTAATATAATCAATCCACTCATTCCTATCTTGTAAAAATCACCAAGATCTTTCAGAATTTATCACTACAGTTGGTACCACTGAAAAAAGTTTGGGAATAATGGTTTACCCATTTTTGGTGGAAAATACTTAAATTAGAACTGTAGGCAAAATGTTTGTTTTCATTTTGGATAGAGTAACGGAGGGTTATAACCCCTCTCAGATTTGTTTTGCTATCTGTGTCCAATTGCGGAGATTTTTCTTCATTTCCTGTTCCATAGCCAAACTGGAGGTGAGAGGAAATCCCTGCAAAATAAGAGAATTCCTTGGAGATCCCCAGTTCACCAGAACTAGTGTCCCCATTGGAAGATTTCTCCAGTATTGCTTTTCTGGGGACAACCCAAAATTTGGAATTTTCTTTTACTTTCAATGATAATGGTAGACAGGGCATATAGAAAGGGTGACTCTCCTTAACCACTTGCCTACTAGGCACTTATACTCCCTTCCTGCCCAGGCCAATTTTCAGCTTTCAGCACTGTTGCACTTTGAATGACAATTGTGCAGTCATGCAACATTTTACCCATATGAAATTTTTATCATTTTTTTCACACAAATAGAGCTTTCTTTTGGTGGTATTTACCTGCTGCTGGGTGTTTTATTTTTTGCAC